AGTTTGTAGAGGTTTCAGTCCTCAATTGGTTGGCTCCAAAGCATAGTGATTATAGAAGAGAGACAATTCATGGCAGGTGGAAGGTGGCAAAGCAAGCAAGCAAGCGATGACCGCAGCTCTTTCTATCCCTTGTATCTTATCCAAGCTACTTATGGAGAGTGGCACTCACATCCTTAATCCTAGTGCCCTTGATCCTGCCATTGTACCATGAATCACTTCCAGTGCCACATTCTCCAGATCCAGCTACCTCTGGAAAAGCCCCACCTATGGCCACATGAGGTGTTGGTAGGCATCTAAATACAAGGCACAACAACAGTCTTCTTCTGGAGGAAGAACAAAGCTAAAGACATCCCATTTTCTTTTTTTTCTTTTTCTCGATACCGGGGAGCGAACTCACGACCGCCTGCTTGCCAGGCAGATGCTTATGCCGCTGAGCTAAATCCTCAGCCCCCAGACATCCCATTTTCTGATTTTAAAGTGTATTCCAAAGTTATATTGGTTAAAACAATGTGAGATTGGCATCAAAATGGACATGTGGAAAAATGGAACTTAACAACTGAGAAACAAAGCCGCACATATATGTTCAACTAATATGTGACAATGGCACCTTGGATATACAATAGGGGAATAATAGTCTCTTGCTAACTTGTGTTGGAGACAGGGAATGGATATCCACATGTGAAGGAATAAAATGGGCCCTTACCTTATATCACTCACAAAAATGGATTAAAGATTCAAATGTAAGGCCTGAAACCATAAAACTTCTAGAAGGAAGCATAGGGAGAACTTTCCCTGACCCTGTCATTGACAGTGATGGGGAGGAGTGTTCAGACATTAAAAGTACATATAAGTAACAAAAACAAAAATAAATGCATGGTACAACATCAGACTGAAAAGCTTCTGCATAGCAAAGGAAATGATCAAAAAAAAAGACAATCTGCAAAATTCAAGAAAATATTTGCAAATCTATTGAATGGTTAGTATGTGATATACATATTATATATATACATATATAATATAAGGGAACTTTCACAATTCAATTGCAAATAATAATAATAACCTAACTAGAAATGGACAGGGGGATCAAACAGTCATTTCTCCAAAGAAGATATGCAAATACAAAACAAGTACAGGAAGAAATACTCAACATCAAAGAAGTGCACATCAGAATCACAATGAGATCTCACTTCACAACTGTTAAGATAGCTATTATCAAAAAGCAAAAGATAACAAAATTTGGGCAATGTTGTGAAGATGACAAGTCCTTCATGCATGATGGGAATGCAAATTAGTGTAGCCACTATGGAAATATACCAGTTCTTCAAAATAAAAATGTAACTATACATAATATGATCTAGGTGTTTTGGGTGTGTAACCAAACAATATGAAATCAACGTGTCAAAGAGATATCTGTACTCCGATGTTCATTACAACATCATTCACAACAGCCAAAACATGGAAACCGCCTACATGTCCATTGGTAGGCACAGAGACAAAGAAATCATAAAACATATATATGTATTATCCACTATAAGGGATACAAAATCCTTCCATTCTATCTTTCTGTGATAACACAGATGAATATGTATATTGTGCTAAGTGGAATAAACCACACAGAAAGGCAAATACTATGTGATCAGTTTTACCTATATGTGGAATCTAAAAAGAAAAATCAAAATCAGAAACAGAGTAAATTCAGTACTACCTTGCCATAAAAAGGATAAATGTGAGACATTTCGAGGTAAATGGATGCACTTCGAGACCATACAGTTAAGTGAAGGAAATCGAAGATACCTGTTGAAATATTGCATTGTTTCTCCGGTATGAAAAACAAAAGGGTAAATAAGGACAACATGTATAATAAATATTGTGAAACAGGAAGAAAATGTTCAAATAAGGAGAACAAGAGAGGGGGAGGGGAAAGAAAGGAATGGAAACAAAAAATAGAAGAAATGGAAACAAACATTTTGTAAAAAAGGAGGAGAAGAGAGCTTGAAGGAAGGGGAGGAGAAAGAGAAAAAAGAAGAATCAAGATATATCATATACAGGTATATGATCAATGCTATCACTATGTATATCTAAAATGTACCCATAAATTAATTTTTAAAAAGAAACAATAAAATGGTGGTTTTCAAGATCTGGAGGCTGGAGGAAGTGGCTGAGGAAAATGATCAAAGATTCAAACTTTTAGTTGTAAGATGAACAAATTCTAAGGATCCAATGTTTTGCATGAGTAGTGATGGATGTAGTTTGATGATGATAATCATTATTCAGCATATAGGCATATCAAGTCATCAGATTGTATATCTTGATTACCAAGTTACAATCTTTATTTGCCAATTAAGGGAAAAAACCAAAGTGTTTTTTTCTGGTTAATGTAAAATACGTATATGAGGAGAACCAGTTGGCCAGTTTCCAGATGTATCAGCATCATGATATGTAGGGTTGTTATTTTTGGTGTTTCTCAGTTGTGCTGCTTCTTGGGCTAAAGCTCAAAATACAAGTCCTTAAGGCTTTGTGTGGTGTGGTGTGTGTGTGTGTGTGTGTGTGTGTGTGTGTGTGTGTGTGTTGGGGATCAAACTCAGGGGTGGTTGCTCAGGTAGAACACAAATTGGCAGTCCTCCTGCCTCAGGCTTCCTGGATTACAGTGCTGGAATTACAAAGGAGAGCTACCAAGACCATCTCCTAAGGCTTTTAAAAGGCTTAGAGATGAGTCTGACAGCAATCTTGACCAACATGATTAATAGACCATAGAGATTATAATATAAATTTGTTATTACTTCTAAATATAGACCTTTAAATTTTATAGTATTCACTATTTTAACTGTTAGTGTTTGAAGTCAGAAAAATTAAGAACATATGTAAATAGACAATAGACTAGAAAGGTAGGAAGGTAGATATATGATAGATAGATAGATAGATAGATAGATAGTAGATATATGATAGATGACATACAGGGTTTGGAACCAGGCAGAACTATTTTGAAAATCCACATTTGCCATTTGCTATTCTGTATCTTACTGAGAGTCATAAAAAATCAAGCTAAGAAGAGATTATGATTTTAAAGTACATAATGACTGACATACAAAACCCTAAATTATAGTTTGGTTTTCTCTAATATGTTGGTTTTTTTTTTTTTTTTTTAATCTTTTTAAGACAGACTCTCGCCATGCAATTCAGGCTGGCCTTAGGCTCACTTTGTAGCCAGGCCACTCTTGAACTTGGTCCTCTTGCCTCAGCCTCCCGAGTGTTGGGATTACAGGAGTAATGCTAGCATGTATCTGTAATATATGTATCTGTTTTTTCAAATCACTCAAGTAACAACATTCCTATCAAGAGACAGCTGATGCTTCTTATTTCTATATGTATTTGGTCACTTATTTATTAACTCAGCAAACATTTATTGACCAATCATTATGTGCCAAACATTGTACTGGGTACAGGGGACATAAGGATGAAAAAAAACTGAGTCTTACTCTGCAAGGAAGGGCTGACCTGGAATTTGAATTTGCGCTTTCTCTCTCTCTCTCTCTCTCTCTCTCATATATATATATATATATATATATATATATATATATCAAATTCAAGGAGCACTTTTTTCTGTGTTAAAGAGTAACTATATGCCTCTGGACAGTGTGGCACACTCCTGTAATCTCAGATACTCAGGAGGCCAAGGCAGAAGGATTACAAGTTCATGACCAGCCTGGGCAACTTAGTGTGACACTGTCTCAAAAAATTTAAAAACAACAACAAAAAAATAGGGTTGTAGCTCAGTGGTGAGGCCCTGGGTTCAAATCCCATAGAGAAGGAGGAAGAGTGGTAGGAGAATCAGAAGAGAAAAAGAGGGAAGAGAGGGAAGGAAGGAGAGGGAGAAAAAGGAAGAAAAAAAGGAGGAGGTTACATGTTGAGCATTTGGATGAGATGTGATCCAAGGAGTCATGGGAACGCTCCTGAGTATCTGGGGGCTTCATACATTGGGATACAACTTCTGTAGTCCACATCACTGCAAGGGGGGCAACTTTCTAAATCAAGCTTCCCAAAGTAGAAAAAGATTGCCTTGTGGTAGAGAACACTCTATCACTGCCAGGAGAAGTCTGGCAGAGGTTGAATGCTGAGCTCTTTGAACTCATACATTGGGAGGAAGATTGGCCACTAAGATCCCTTCCACCTTGGAAGGCGAGAGGCTCTTGCATTGAGGTCTTACATGTGCATAGTTCAAGACTGTGACTCTCTCCTGGGCTTACACCCCCAAGATGGCTCACAAGCAGGACTACTGGCCACACAAATAGTGTGCATATGGGATACAAAAACAATATTGTTCAAAATGATCTTCTCACCAATCTGTCCCAGTACCAGAATTTCATTCTTTGACTTTAAGTTAAGTATCTTTGTTAAAGTGCAACCAGTTCAAGGTAATGCTTGAAAAAAAAAAAAAAAAGGACATCTCAAAAAACATGTAAATTTACTAAAGAGGCTCCAACTGGCCAAATATAGAAAAACCCACAAAGAAATGATAATAGAGTGTGACATCATAAGAAAAAAATCCATGAGTTTTAGAGACACTAAGGAAAAAAGGAGGCAGGTACACAGAGAAATATTTCTTCTTTATAGAATACCAGTCTAAATTTAGAAAAATGATGGATTTGAAAAATAATTATTTTGCAGCTATCTGTGAAACAGTTAATATAAGTAAGCATCATCACCAGATACTAAAACCTATGTACGTACCCATTGTTGCTGAGTAGTTACGTAGCCTCTAAATACACAGATGGCTTATAAATTCAAGGGAAAAGGAAAAACAGGTCAGACATCAGCTTCCCAACCATACCTTCCCACAAGCTCACAACATTTGTCTCCTGAAGAGGTGAAAAATGGAAACACCGCTTTTGCAGTATTTTTGCCTTTATTCTAAACAAATCCAAAATAGGACTCTTTCGAATATTGTTATGAAAGCTCAACACCCTCCGAAGTGTGCCAACATTTCCCACCCCATCTTGCAGGTCAGGGTGTGTTATTGTACATTCCTCAGTCCACCATCAATGCCACCGTACAAGAAAACATCCTGCTCTCTGTTCAGTACTCCTGCCACGGAGTGCCTACCATTGAATGGAGGTACACATCCAATTGGGCCATGCAGAAGATTGTAGAATGGAAACCAGGGACTCAGGCCAACATCTCTGAAAGCCACAAAGGCAGAGTCTCCACGTTTGACAATGGCTCCATCCAGCTCTCGAGTGTGGGCGTGAGAGATTCCGGTTACTACGTCATCACTGTGACAGAGCACCTGGGGAGCAGCCAGTTTGGCACCATTGCGCTGCATGTGTCTGGTAAGACAGCCCCAAGTCCCCAGGGCCTTGTGAACTGTGCGTGCGAGTAGCATGTGATATCAAAAGAGACCTCACCTTCCTTTCCTCCCCTCACCCTAGAGATTCACTATGAAGACCTCCACTTCGTTGCTGTCTTTCTGGCTTTACTTGCTGCTGTGGCTGCAGTGTTAATCAGCCTCATGTGGGTTTGTAATAGGTGTGCATATAAATTCCAGAGGAAGAGGAGACACAAACTCAAAGGTAACCCTCTGGGCCTTGTGATCCATCAATTCCCGGTTTTGAGGTCACAGGTAATACATGTTATCTTATTCATACCAAAAGACCATCTTGTGGCTAGTTTTCAACTTGTTGATTTGTCCTTTGCTTTGCAGAAAGCACAACTGAGGAGATTGAGCTACAGAATGTTGAGTGTTAGCCAAGGCTGGGCACAATTACATTCCTACCTCAAGAGGAAAACATTTTCCAGCCAAAGGAACAAACACAGCAAATTTATTCTACAGCTTCCTGTAGTCCTGCCCTTCAACCCATCCCTGATGGGAGAGCCTGAAGGTAACACAGTTGACTGCATGGAGTTGGAGACCATAGATTGGACAAAATCAGTTCTAGGACTTGCACTGAGTTCAAGGAGAAGAGAGACCAAGACTTTCAACCAGGAACTTTGCTTGGCTGCAGCTTTAGGACACGCTAACCTGTAAACAATGGCACAGAGCAAACACCGGCTGTTGCTCATGACACTGGCTCTGGCTCCTGCATGACCTGCTGGAGGAGGCCCTATGTCAGGGGCTCCTGATGCACAGCCAGCACTGGGACACACTCCCTGTGCCTTTGCATTTCTGTCTGCTCTGCATACTGCTGTACCCTCCCAACCCCTTTCTTGAGTCCTACCGCCAGTGCTGTGGTAGCTCCTGAGAAAACCTGAGGCATCCGGACAATCTGCTGCCTCAGAATCACCCTTGGGGGTGACGGGATGCTCATTGTGTTAATTTTCTCAGAGGTGAGACCTCATAGTTTGGAGCTTTAGGGAGAGTAGTTCAATGTACTCCCGAGGGACTGGGTTTGTATGCAGGGAATAAGGACAATATCCTTTCTCTCCCTCTCATGTTTTGAAATTAGTTTCATTTTCCCTCTTATAGCCCAAACTTAGAGCAGTTTGAAAATGAAGAAAATGAAGTTCATGTCCACTATGGGCAGCCTCTAGCCTCCTGGAAGCGGAGCCTGCAGAGTGGGTGGTACAAATGGAACCTCAGTAATCTTGGGCTTCAGATCTGTCTTTTTCTATCACCAACACTTCATGACCCCAGCGAAGCCCTTGCTCTCTCTCCTACTTGGGTTGAGGAACCCTTGGCCATCACCTACCTCACAGGGAGGGTAACAAGAGAAGCACCTGGTATGCTTAGAGCATGCCAAGCAATTTAAGAAAGCATGAGAATGCCTCAAGGATCTGGAATGTTATACTGGAAAATGCTATACCAAATATTGGAAATTAAAATGACCTTAGTTACTGTGGCTCCAGCCATGTAGAGATTAGGTTCTGGCTGGGGTTTGTTGGTCACAATGTTTACCTGGAAATTTTCCATCCCAACTTCCATTTGGCAAGCTCTAAAATCAAGCATGAATTTATTTTTCCTTCTTTCCTCTCCAATATTCATTGCTACAACCAAAGTTATCACCCTGATTATGATAGAGATTTAGGCCAGCACCTATGTTTCTAGACCTCGACTGCAAATTCTTATGTGCAAAGATGAAAAAGTGCCACAATATTACTTTCTTTCTCTTTCCTTTCAGGTCCCCAATGTCCTTATCTTTTCGGTTTCCTGTGTGGAAGGTAAAGAGTTATCTGGAGAAGTTTGTTGAGGTGTTTCCCTAAATAACAAAGCCAAAGATACCAGAACTACCAGTATCTGGAGAAAGGCTCCAAAGGCACTACCATACTTGATTCAAAAGGCAAAAGAACAAAGTCTACCCAAGTGACAGGAATCTCTGGCACCTGACACCCAGAAGATACCCTCAGGCTATGTCCTGTGTACACACATAAAAACATGCGTACCTGTGCCCCCTCCACAGGGAGCAGCCAGAGGGACCCGGTCCTATGCAAGACAGTTGGCACATGTGGTGTGAAGAATCAGGGCACAGAGTACTTGAGAAAAAGGGAGAGTCAAGGATGATTTGGTTCTTTCTCCTCTTTCTCACAGAAAACCCAGCAGCATAAAATGGGTTTGGAGCTGGGTAGCTGCTGCAGCACCTGCCTCCTCACCAGAACTCTACCCCTCCAATTATTAGCAGCAGGGGTAGCAAGCATCGGCATAAAAGAGATGGCAAAGGACACAGGACCCGCAGGGAGGCCTCCATGGGAAAATTCAGATGCAAATTAAATCTCTTCCAAAGAATCTCAAAGCTATCATTTCTTTGGAAGGAGGATTCTAGAAACTCCTTAACTTTAAAAGCCATAGGTTGAAGTTTTTCTTTAAAAAAAAAAAAAAAGAATATTAAATCACAGAGATTGACTAATACAAAGTTAAGTTGTGTTTCAGCGATGAAAAAATTGTTTTACAAAAATGAATGAAATAAAATATGAATATAAAGCCCTGGTCTCTGTGTGAGCCCAATCCTGCCAAGAATTCTTTGGGTGATGATTCCACGGGTGCTGAGGATATATAAAATCCTTAACCCCAGCTAGGGTTTGGCACATACTTTAAATGACAATAGAACTGACCACATTAGTTCTAAATGCTTTTTAGCAATTCAGAAAAACAATACCTTATTAATGCCATCATTTTCCTGTATTATAGCCAGAAATCCAGTTTGAAGTTTGTACTTCCAGAATATTAGTTGTATCTCCATAGGATCTTTTTTCCTTGTGGAACAGGCTGAAGACTAGGATGTGACAGCTGTACCAAGTTCAGCAGTATGTACTGCACATGCTCTACCCACAGTGTACTCTCGAAGTATTATCTAAGAACCCAAGAAGATACATGATGTTCTCTGTCATTTCGTGGTATTCTGGGTATGTAAGCAGAGCTAGAATAGAGAGCTCAAATCCTCTGAAGCCCACAAAACATGGTGAATACCTTCATACTTCAGGCTTACTCTGATTTGAAGCAATACCACAAAAAGATGAGGAGCTGGGGCTGGGGGTTTAGCTCAGCGGCATAAGCGCCTGCCTTGCAAGCAAGCAGTCGTGAGTTCGATCCCCGGTACCAATAAAAAGGAAAAAGACAAAACAAACAAAAAAAAGATGAGGAGCAAAGCAGGGTGAAATCAGTCCTGTGCAATGCAGGAATGCAGAGACCCGGCCTAAGGCAGAAATGTAACCATGGGTAGAGAAAAAGAGGCAGGAGAGGGAGCCCAGCTGTGAGCAAGGATTCTATCTAATATGACAAGAATAAAACTCAAATGAAGTCTCTGACAGAATACCCCTCCCTTTGGCAAGGGCAAGTGTTCTCTTGAGCCCAATTTTCAGGCAAGCAAGATACATCTCTAGTTTATTGAAAGCTGAGCAAATTATGGTTAGCCCCACATATATCAGGCATCAATGAAGAACAGGATTAGGAAAGTGACACCTAACAAATTAAATACAAAGGCAGGGAGAAATAAATGGGAGAGGTAAGCCATAGTGCGTGGCTTTAAAATGTAACAGGAATAACCCCACTCTTTATATTCACGAAAGCACTCATGATCTTCTTATATAGAACATTTAGAGATGGGAATCCTGGACATTCTGAATTGCTTCCTCCAAATCATAAACTTGCTATCTTACCTGTTTTTCCAACTTGTAGTTACTTGACTCTTAGAATCACAGTTGCTTAATGTTTTTTATTTGCATAGCAAGTGAGAAATTACCATTCATTACCAACCTTAATATCCAAATTTTTGAGGTTAGCTCAGAAGGTGTCTTTGCCCCATTACATGTGAGGAAACCGGTTCAGAGGGTGATCTTGCTGGGCTCATACAACTGCCTTTTTAGTTACCTAATCTGTTCAGATGGAATTTAAAATAGAAGATAGTATCTGTGCATGGGACCTCACCCATTCTAATCAAAGTATGGTGATATCCATAAGCTATTACTGGTTGATGACAGAATAAGCATGGAAGCAAAGCATTCAGAAAATTTAATATTTGACAGCAGTTTTATGCATATTAAAATCCAATAAGGGCTGGGGATTTAGCTCAGCAGCATAAGCACCTGCCTGGCAAGGGTGAGGTCATGAGTTTGATCCCTGGTACAAAAAAAAAAAAATTAAAATCAAATAAAAGTTGTTTTTACATCTTAAAAAGATTTTGGGGAGTGGTACCAAGGGTAGAACAAGGCCTTGGACTGAGCTACTGCCCTTCCCCTCCCTTTTGCAGTGGTAGGGGTTGAACATGGCATCGTGCACACCACCAAACTATATCCCCAGCCATTTTTTTTTTTTTTTGAGTCAGGGTTTCACTAAGTTTGTCAGGCTAGCCTTCTTTGTGATCCTCCTCCTGCCTTACCCTCCTGAATGACCACATCTGGTTGAAATTTTATTTTTCTAGTAATTATAGATGACAACAACAACAAAAACACACACATCTCTAATCCCATTATTTGGAGAGGTTGAAGCAGAAAGGTCACGGGTGGGCAATTTGGTGAGTTTCAAAACAAAGTATTTTAAAAGTGCTAGAGTTCTTTTAGCTAAGTTGAATGGTGCTGAAACTGAAACAGAGTGCCACTCCTGGGAAGCAAATGGGTAAAGGCAGTCTGATTGTCTGAAAGTCCTTTCTGTCCACTTCAGTGCATTCAGAGAGCTTCCCTTCAATGATGAATGGGAGTGTGGGGAATGCAATTTTGGTGCTATGGCTGTGCAGCTATTATGCCTTTGGATGTTACTTTAGAACACCTAAAGGAAATGAACCTTTACTACCTCCTCTGATGACATCCCAATTTGCAGTGTCCTCTCTGCCGTATTTGGCAATCGAAGTGGGTAACGACTAGCTTGGGTTTGTTTGGTAAATGCAATTTCACATCTGTCACTCTTGTTACATTGTGTACAATCAAAAGCAAGAGACAAAACAGGACAATTATTTTCACTTTACTGTTTTTTTTTTTAATATCATTTTTACTTAACTAGCAGTAAATGCTGGTACTAGTACGGGGTAATCTCTACTTAACCATATCTTGATGTGCAAAAGGCCTTTCTAATATTCTATATTCAGAGTGAAGGGAAAATTGGGATCTCTGAAGAAGCCACTTTGTATTTATGAGTATTAATGAGTAAGGCTGCTTGGATGGCTTGCTTTTTAACACACACACACACCCGCTGCCCCATCCTGTGGGTCAGTGGAGGCCACTTGGCCAGGGAAGACCAGCAAGGAAGCCATGCAGCACTGTGTGGCACCGGTGGCCCTGCCAGCTAAGGACAACCAGCAAGGTAGCCATGCAGTCCCCCATGTGGTGGTGGTGGCCCTGCTGGCCAGGGAGAACTAGCAAGTAAGCTGCCCTCCCCAACGCCTGCTCTGCAAGCAACTGGACAGGACACAGGCTGAGGAGATAACTGAAGTAGAGAAACCACCTGGTATGTATTCATCAACTTTGCAAGCCTGGGGCTGGTAGTCTGAGCAACTCTTTGGAGGGTAACAATGTGCAACACGGTGGTGATTATATATTACCTACTGTCCCATCACTGTTTTGTTTATTTTGTTTTATTCCCCATAAAATTAAAATGGGGGGGACCTAGGAGCCAGGGATGTTGCCTAGTGCAAAGGCTCTGGGTTCAACCTATTGCAACAAAACAAAAACAAACACCAAAAACTGGTCCTTCCATGAAAATGTAGCCAAGGCAAATTTTTTGGGCCTCAACAATATTAGAAGCACTAGATTTTAAATAACTAACTGGAGATTATACCAATTGTTTTTAGGCGAGAACTCTACTAAGGCCATACGTCAAATATAAAAATTTCTACCAGTCCAAGATGCAGAAAACAGCACCAAGTCTTTTCTTTGTTTTGTTTTGGCTTTTTGGTACCAAGTATTGAATCCAGGGCCTCATGTGTATGAGGCAGGCAGGCTACCTCTGAGTCCATCTTCCATCCACAAAGATTTTTCTTTAAACAAAGTATCCTTTTTTAAAACAGAAAACTGCAGAGAAATACAAAAGGATATAACTTTATGTACGTGTAAGTGTGCAAGATAGATAATCGTACTACTAAGTTTTTGTTAGTTCATCAAACAGAATGGTTTGTACTGTCATTGTTTGATTGTCCACTTTTTATGTTTTGATTTTGTGACGAACAACTACTTCTAAGATAATATGCAATTTATCAAGTAGTGATTTCTCAGTCTTTTTTAAAATTCTGTGTTATTTCTACCCTTTCGTTTTGTCTTTCTCTAAATAAAAAACAAGCTGTTAAAGCAAAATGCTTTAAAAATTGAAAGCTTTACTTATAAGGATACCTTACCGTATATTACTTTTAGTGATACCAAGGGCCAATAAACCTACATCTCTTACTAATAGGAATTCTTCAAGCATACTTTAGGATTGGGGTGCTTTTCCTGAGAAGTGGGAACATGTTACTTAGAAAAAGCAACCATAAGAAAACAGGGGGATAATGGGTAAGACTTCAACTTGAGATAATCCATGGTAGGAAGCTGGGAACGAGGATCCAGTGTCCACTCAACTTGAGAACAGAATGAGAAACAGCAGAAAGCCTTGAATCTGCTGTCTTCTGTGCCTTTACCTGTCCCTTCTGAGGAGCTTTTAAATTATTTCTGTAGCTGAGACCATGGCAGAAGAAGGCATTAGGTGAAGAGATACTTCACTCACTAACAAGAGCCCTGGTTCACTGCTCCTTCGCCCGGTTCTCCTTGCACTGCAGGGAGGGCCTGGCTTACCTGTGTGAGTGAATTTCTGGATGAAAGCTTGTCCTAAGTGCTTCAATGTTCTTACATGTTCTCCTAAGAAGGTGGAATGTGTAATTGATTATAGACACTTTTCATTTGGGTCAAAATTTCAGAAAGTACTTGGAAGATTTTAACTACATACTTTATTTGAGGTCAGTATCAAAGAAGAGATATTTTAAAAACACATCCATACCCTTAAGTTACTACCATTTTCAGGTTAACTGTATAAAAAGGTATTATTTCACATCTCTCCATATGGTATACCTACAATTGTACATAACTTCTGCATTTCAAAGTACTAGTCACTTATAAAGTGAAGGTTTCAAACTGCTAAGTAAAAATTTATTAATTACAGTTGTTAGGATTTTTTGTTTTGCTTGTCTGAGTTTTTGGACACAGTCTCATTTTGCAGTCCAGGCTAGTCTTGATTTCACTCACACTGTTGCCCAGGCTGGTTTTGAACTCAAGATACGTCTGCTTCTATCTTCCAAGTACTGGAAAGTATGTGTCAGCAGACCAGGCCTTATTGTTTTGTTTAAAACAATATGCCTTTAGAAACTCATTCTCCTTTGTGCTTAGAGTTAATTTGTAAGCATTCAAGTCAACGTTTCTGAAAATGTCTCTGGAAAAAAAATCTGGAAATTGTTCTGGAAAAAATCATAGTAGACAAGGGCTAAGTGCAGACATAAGCAGTTCCATTTTATAAACAAAATTTCGACCTTCCATCTTATTCCACTGGACTTCCTTGAATGGTCCACGAAGATGACTCCATTTGCTATCTTGTAAAACATCACTTTTCGGAAGGTCTTTACACTGGTTTCGGGGAAACTGAACCATAATCTTGCTGCCACTTTCAGGTCCATTACGAACTATGGAGAAAGACCAAAACACTCACTCACATTATGTAAACTAGAGAGTAACAGGATATATCCCACAACTCCATTCTACTGTGAAAAACCTCATCTGACCACCAACTTAAACAATTTGTTAAAAACGTGCTTTTCAAGCTGGGCGTTGGAGTGTACATCTACAGTCTCAGCTATGACAAACTGAGGCCGGAGCATTCCAAGATGAAGTCCAGTTGGGACAACACAGGGAGACCCTTTCTCAAAAAATAAAATGCAGCCCATTACAAGGATCCCCAATACTAATACTACCACCCTCAAAATAGTTTTTTTTCTGTTTCAACATCCAAAATTTTTCTCTTTATTTACAAGGCTGATATAAATACATTCAAACTACTGTTTGTACTATAAAAATTAGGCAAGATGAATTTTGACTTAGGAAATTCCTACATTTTCAGAACATAACCTGTTGGTGTTCATACAGGTGACTAAATATGGTGCTTCTGCAATGAGCTACATTCTCAGGACATTTAATTTTTTGAGACAAGTTCTAAATCACTAAGCTGCCCAGGCTAGGCTCAAACTTATGATCTTCCTGCCTCAGCCTCCCCGAATACCAACCTACTTTATCTTATTTTATTTTTTTGGTACCAAGGATTGAACTCATGACCTTGTGATTGCCAAGCAGGCCCTTATGCCGCTGAGCTAAACCCCCAGCTAACCTACTTAATTTTAAAACACATTCATTTGATAATTCAACCATTCAACATGTAAGTGAATATATAGTAAAACTCAACCATTCAGCACTTAAAGGGATAAGGGAAAGATTATTCTGATTTAAGAACTTCAGATTATAGTAACAAAGCTTTAACTACTACTCAGGAATGACTAACAAGTATTCTGAAATTCCCCGTAGTGGCTGTGGGTACAGGAAAATTCACATTTAGCATGTGCAAAGCCCTAATTTGACTCCTACCACCAAAAAAGAAAAAAAAAAGAAAGCAATTCTTAGCAATACCTGGAAATGGCCAGGCTTGCCCGGCCCTAAGCTGGGATCCTGTGGGAAAAGACTTTGCACTGTCCAACTTTCAGTTTTAAAGTTGAGAACAGAGTAAAAAAAAATTGTGGGGCTGGGGATTTAGCTCAGTGGCATAAGCGCCTGCCTTGCAAGCAGGCAGTCATGAGTTCGATCCCCAGTACCGATTTAAAAAAAAAATTGTAATATAACTGTAAACCCTGAAAACATGAACTATTATGAGCAACAGCAACTATTATGAGCAAGCATCTACTCATAGTAGATGGTCAGTAAAATACCTCTCTTCATTCTGTTCTATCATATATGATCATTTCCATGTTTACAGCAGTCCACACACACGCACAGGGAGAAACAGCGAGCTGGAGGAAGAACAAGTGTGTGGTACATCACAGCCCTATATTTTATTGTTGGAGACCACTACGAACCGGCTCTAAGCAGGATTTAAAATTAACTAATTGGCTTTCTATGTTTATCTATGATTCTGTCCAAGGCCTCAGCCCCTTGCCTGGCAACGGGAGCTGATTCGTAGTAAGTGAACCTCTATGAATCACTGGTCCTGGCTGAGGCCTGCAGTGGCCTGTGAGGCCAGAGATACCTCAAAGGGCAAGATAAGGCCACAGCTGCGGACACCTTGGCTCCAACACTAATTAAGTAAATAGAGACTGCCGCTGAAGGAATTTCACTCCTGCAGCCGCACTCCTACCATACAATTTACTACTTGGAGAAGTCTTTGAAATGACTCCCAAGGTCCTGCTCATTTCCTGTGCTTTCCTCAGTTTCTTCACTCTTTGTTTGGACCTAATAAAAATGGATGGGCCAGAAAAGTCTTTATCTTAGCCCTCAGAGTCTCCTATTCAGCTAAAGGGGTTTGATCCTCCTGGAGCCCTAAAATCATACCACTTGACTCATTTATTAAGCCTTTGCTGTACACTTGTTTGGGAGATTGGGGATCTAGGTCAGGACCCAATACAGTGCATCTCAGCCCTTTATTTTTATTTATTCATTTACTTTTTAGTTTTGACACAGTCTCGGTATGTCACTAAACTGCCCAGGTTGGGCTGAGTGCCAAGATTAATAGGTGTGTGCCTCTACACCCATCTTATAACAGTTTATTTTTTTTAAAAAAGCTTAATCATTAAAGGAGTAATAATGCTAATGGCACTCTTCAAAAAGGATCTACTAGCTAAATGCTTTCGTAACTACCATCATGATGGTAAACTTGAGTTGGGGTTTTCACTGCCTAGGATGGCATCCCTAGTTTATGTTTCAGGAACCTTCACTGCGGCAACTTAGGGAGAGGGAGCAGGACCTCATCTTCCACTGCAAAAGCTAAAACTGCCTGACGCTTGCTTCCCGTGTCCGTAAGTACAATCAGTGAAAAATCAGCATAAATAACTATGTAAACTCACTGCAGCTGAATTACTTTTATGTGCATTTTATACCAAAGCTGCATGTTAAAGTCAGTCACAGTAGTCCATTCCCATGCAGTAGTGTATACCTCTTCTCCTTCACTTGTCCCAAACCCACTCTGCAGAGCAGATTTTTTCTTCTTTAATAAATGTAAAACCTTCAAACCTTTAAAAACATAAGTAAATAAAGCCACACTCCTAACGGTCCCTTCTTTAAAGCAGCAGAAAGTACCTGAAATAGCGTAGTCACCACTTGGAGAGGCCACAGTTATGGCAGAGGCGTTGCCAATGCTCTCTATGGGCCCCAGTCCCACATGGTTACTGAAGCTGAGGACCTGCCAGCCCATAACCTTGGCCAGCTGCTGAACTGCATGCACCTGGTGCTGTGACATCTGTGAATGAAAAAGGAAACTTTCATTTTCTGTACCGGAGATCGTGCTCATGACCTCACACTTGCTAGGCAGACGCTCATGCCGCTGAGCTAAATCCCTGGCCTGGAAAAAGGAAACCTGACTGACAGCCAGCACAGACATTTACTCTGCTGTGCTTCACATCATGATGGTAAACTTGAGTTGGGGTTTTCACTGCCTAGAATAGCATCCCTAGTTTATGTTTCAGGAACCTTCACTGTGGCAACTCAGGGAGAGG